TTTGATTTGCTGAAAATGTATTATTGTCTTACTGAAATTGTCAGGAATGTCTTCTAGTTTTAGTGCCTCTGCTTTGTGCAATGTCAGTGGTAGTAGTAATTCATCTGAGTCTATGAAAGACCCCTACCCTTTGTGGAAGTTTGTTGTTAAGGGTGATAGAATATCAGGTGGTGGAGGAAATTATAATTGGAAATGTAACTTTTGCAGCGAAGTTAAAAATGGTTCATACACTAGAGTGAAAGCTCATTTGCTATGTGAAACAGGGAAAGGGATTCAAACTTATAGTAAAGTGAAAATTGATGACCCTGCTAAACTAAGAAAGCTTCATCGTGAATCCCAGGATTATAAAAAATCTTTGTTACCAAAAGTTCCACCTTTTTCAAATGAACCCATTTTTTCTCACACATCCATTGAAGCTACATTAGTGAGACTAGGTTTATCTGATAATGTAAAGAAGAGGAAATCAAACAATACAATTTCCGATGATTTTAATATGAAATCTCGGACCACTTGGATTCTGAAATGCTAGGATGTTTTACACAGGGGGGTTGCCTTTTAATCTTTCTAGAAACCCTTACTATGTTAGTTCATATACAATTGCTGCCAATTCTAATTTCTCTAGTTATAAGCCTCCTGGATACAACAAACTTAGAATAACTTTGCTTTGTAAAGAGACAGAAAATGTGGATAGGTAATTACAACCTATTAAAGCCTCATGGAAAACAAAAGGTGTTAGCATTGTTAGTGATGGGTGGAGTGATCCACAAAGAAGGCCTTTGATTAACATTATGATTGCTTCCGAAAACGGGTCCTATGTTTATGAAAGCTATTGATTGCTCGGGCAAGATTAAGGACAAATATTTCATTTCTACCTTATCAAGTGAGGTGATTGATGAAATTGGAGATCAAAATATTGTTCAAATAATCACAGATAATGCAAGTAATTGTAAGGCTGCAGGGGAATTGGTTGAGGGTAGGTATCCTCATATATATTGGACACCATGTGTTGTTCATACACTTAATCTTGCAATAAAAAGCATTTGTGCAGCTAAGAATGTGTTGAATAATGTTGAAGTATATGATGAATGTCATTGGATAACAGAAGTTCATGCAGATGCCTTGTTCATTAAAAATTACATAATGAATCATTCGATAAGGCTTTCAATGTTCAATAAGTTTTCTCCATTAAAACTACTTTGCATTGTCGATACTCGTTTTGCTTCAATTGTGTGCATGCTTAAAAGGTTGAAACTCCTTAAAACATCACTTCAATGAATGGTTATTAGTGAGAATTGGTCCTTATATAAGGATGATCGACGCGGGCAAGCCTCATATGTAAGGGAAAAGATTTTGGATGAAATCTGGTGGGAAAAAGTTGATTACATTCTTGATTTCACACGCCCAATCTATGATATGATTAGGGTTTGTGACACCGACCAATCTTCCTTGCATTTGGTTTATAAAATATGGGACATTATGGTTCAAAAAGTGAAAGATGCCATCTACAAGAAAGAGGGTAAATTAGATTATGAAGAATCTACCTTCTTTAATGTAGTTAAAGGGATTCTTAGTAGTCGTTGGAGTAAGGGTAGTACTCCACTCCATTCATTAGCACATTCTTTGAATCCAAGGTAAGTTTTACTTATTTAATTCATCTTTATTATCTTTATTTATTTTTCCTTGTTTTTTATTTAATTTCTTATGCCTAATCTTATTTTGTTGTTAAAGATTTTACACGGAAGAATGGCTTAATGAGGTCCCGGGACGAGTTGTTCCAAATGCCAACAATGAAATTTCCACACAAAGATTACAATGCTTTCGAAGGCTTTTCCAAAGTCGTGATGAAAGATTTAAGATCAACACGGAATTTGCAATATTTTCACAAAAATTAGAGGGGATCTTTCTCAACATTGATTGCATGCATGATATGGCTATGATGGATGCTAAAAATTGGTGGGCAACTTATGGCTCCCAAGTGCCTATGCTTCAAGCTTTGGCTTATAAGCTATTAGGTCAACCTTCTTCCTCTTCCTGTAGTGAAAGGAATTGGAGCACCTATAAGTTTATTCATTCTTGCACTAGAAATAAGCTTACTCATAAATGTGCTCAAGACTTGGTATTCATTCATAACAACCTTCGATTACTTTCTAGGAGAAGTGAAGAACACACTTAGGGGAGATCTAAGTTGTGGGATGTGGGTGGAGATGAGCATGACAACCTAGGAGAGGGTATTCTAGAGATGGTCGAGCTCTCACTTGATGAACCCGAGATGGAAAATATGATTTTTGATGATGTACTTGGTGATGGTGAAGAATGAAACTATTAGTACTTATGTTTATTTTATTTATGATTTATAAAACTATTATTAAGACGTGTATTTGGTTTGATGGTTTCTTGATATGTATGCGACTATGTTCATACACTTTGTTTATTTACTTGTTTAAACAAAATTGTGTGTTTTGAGGCTAATTATTTAGTGTTTTATTGAATAGGTTGTCAAATTCTCGTTTTTTTGATATATTATATGCCTTGTTATACGTCGTACCCGTGTCTCCTATTTCAGGATTGTCGTTTTCCCGTGTACGTATCGTGTTTGTGTCGGTATCCGTGCAACATAGGTAAGAATTACTCATTAATTAGTCTATTTTCAAATCCCTACTAGCAGTGGGTTTTTTTTTTTTTTTTTTGGGCAAGCCACTAGTTGCTTTTTTGGTTTTCTTTTTTCCTCAACTATTTCGATCATCGACTTAAAAACTAAAGTATTTTTTTTGCCAAAAACATATCTTATCTACGAAGTATATCAATTTATTCAACTAATTTTCTATCTTAAAATAAATTTATTTAAACATTTCTTTTGTTCATTAATATTGCAATATGAAGGGGAATTAGTCTTCCCAAATCAAAATTAAACTATATATTAATTATATAACAACAATTGTTATTAATATTATGAAAATATCTATATCATCGAGACAAATCTAACAAGACCAAGAATTCATTATACTTGGCAGCCATAATCTTTTCCTTCATTCCTTTCTTTCCAAAGCATGTAAATTATACGACTATGCGTATAATCAGATAATGTGATTAAAGAGGATTGTATGTTCAACCTAAAAGGCTAGAGGTTTTGCATGTATCTAAGCTAGTTTGAAATAAATCGATATAGAACGACTTAATGTATCACAAATTTTCAAATACATTTTAATCAAGTAGGATTAGTAGAATTATTTTGGTGGACATTATTATTTGGAGTAATTCCAAGACCGTTTACTTCTTTTTTATAGAGCTACAAGGGCGGGGGTGAGAATCAATCCCAAAATCTTCTGGAATCGGAAAGGAAGCTTTAACCACTTGAGATATCCCTCACTCTCACCACTTACTTTATTTAAAAGGATTAAAACCCATTCTACTTTATCTTATCCCTATTATGGCTTAATAAAACGATACATGCAGTATTTCTATCGTGAAAGTCTCAACTTTATTTCATGTGTAGTTGCGAATATGCAGCCTATTTAATTTATTTGGTGACAACTTAATTAAGATGGTTGTTATATATGTTGTCATTAGAAGAAATAATGGAATTTGCCTAAATTAAACAATTATTTCATATAATTACGAATTGTGATGCAAATGGATTTGCATGTTGCGAATTAAATACACTCTTAAATATTTTGGCTAGCTAGTTGTCAAGTTGATTCTTAGTTTAAATGGAGAAAACCCTTATTTGATTCAATTTTATGTGTATTTGTTAAATTAAATTTCATTTGTAGATGTTGTATGCCTTTATATCAATGGATTTGTTTTTTTTTTTTTTTAAAAGTTCAAATTGGGATCTCTTTTTTTTTTTTTTTTTTTTTTTGAATAGTAATTAGGATCTCTTTGTTTGATCTTATATGTTCAGAATAATTAATTAAGTTCAGACAATGCAGAGAAAATAGGTTTTAAGTTCATATTATACCGTATCCATACCACCATACCTAAGCTTTTTAAGGACACCAATAATTTTTGTTAGAGGCAAGGAAAGTTCAATTTATATGGCTTTTCGGAAATATATAATTACAATTTTGAAGTCATGAAATCAACTATTTTCATTCAACTCTTAATATAAAAAAATATATACAAAAAATATTTCATGCATCCCTATATAAATTATGGTGGTTTTGTTCAAAAAAAATTTAAAAAAAAAATGGTGGCGTTGCTCAAAGGAAGGAATTTTGGTTAGAAAAACCCTCTGGACTCGATCAGCAATGCAAGTTGCTACATTCATAAAGCCTCCTATGTAGACCAAGGTTAATGACGGCTTTGTTAATTTATTGGTCAATTCAACATGTTAAATTACCATGTTACACTTAGCTTGCTCATTTATATGAAGGGTTTGGGTTTTTTTTTTTAAAATAATGTTAAAAAATACAGGTGTCACGGTAATTGAGTAGAACTCTAGATACGGTAATTGAGTAGAACTCTGGATATTCAAATATGTCAATAACATTTTTTTCTTGTAATAATTTTTGAAAAAGTATAAGGGTAAATATTTCTAAAAATAAAAGTATAAAAATTGTCATTGTAATTTGTAAATGATCCACATAAACTATACTCAACAGTCAACACCTAATTTTTTAAGAAGTCCTCATGAGTTCAAATGTGTTCCATGGTCTTTTTCGTTTACCTAGATGGCTAAACTTTGTTAGAATTTTAAATTTCAAATTAATTAAATCAAACAAACTATTTCTAGTCTTCCTCACAATTAGAGATAGTTGAATATAAAAAATTCTCAAGTTGTCCTATACAAAAATAATATTGCCACGCTTACTTTTTTTCCTTAGCATCGTACTTATCAAACCTAAGTAATTTAATAAATTGTAAAATCAACCAAACTTGAAAGTCTGCCATTATTCTTTGTAAATTATGGGACTCATTCAACTAACACAATAAAATAATTAAACATGCGCGTATAGTTTTCATTATATATATGGACCATCATCACCATCATTTTCATACATCATATTCAAAAACTTACTAGACATCACATATTATTCATATTTTGTTACAAAAAAGAATTGAAATATAATCACATATTATACATCTTCAAGAATCATTCAATAATTAAGAATTAAGGAGATGGTTAAGGTGAAGGGGATAGTTGTGTTGCAGAAGAAGAACAGTTTATTGGATTTCAAGGATTTGAGTTCATCATTTCTTGATGGTGTTCATGAGATATTGCTAGGAAAGAAGGTGTCTTTTCAGCTTGTTAGTGCTGTCAATGCTGATCCAGGTTTGTTATTTTCTCTTTACATTATTATCTCATTCTTTTCAATATAGTCTTGGAATTGAAATCTAAAATTCGTTCATATGGAAGTCGATCATGGACGTGGTCGTGATTGAATGAATTCGAGTACATATATGTATATATTATACGAACTTGTTATTAAGGAGAGCATTCATGCACGGGATAGGAGGATAAAGTAGTTGACTAACTTTTTAACGAATTTTATGTGAGAATTGATGTTTGGGGTTGATTCCCATTAAATTCTTTGATTAGTAGAAGAGAATCGCCTTTTTCCACCCTAGCATAGAGATTTTACCTTATTATTACCTAACCTAGGAAAATAATGCATCCATGCAATCAACATGTATATGTAATACTAGTTTAGATGGTTGATAAATTATAATAAATAAAACATTAACCACGCTTTTTGACTTGTGATTTTGCCATGCATATCAAAATTAATGTTGTATCAATTTATGTAATGTACGCAAGATTCAAGGGTCCTATATAATAGACTATAATACGGGTTAGAATTTTGGATCTAGACTCAAACCACGCTATCCTACCTATTAAGTTCTAAATTCGTACCCTATTACTTTATTCAAATTAGGGTAGTTTAAAGCCTTTATCATCCCCCAATTAGACCTTATTTTGTTTACCTAAATATACTTATTTTAAGAAAAATAAATTGTTCAAATAAGGGTTAAATATTACTTCCTGCTATGCTTTCTTTTTTTATTGCACCATAGGGGTTGGGCACAAGTTTTTTGGTAATGGAAAAAAGAATGAGAGAGAAAAGTAAACATACAAGATTGCACATATGATGATAATTCATGGTATACGTAAACTAAAAAATCAAGTGATAAAAAGTAAGGATATATTTGGTATTTGTAGTGTGAACACATATATTTCTTTTCCTAAAATAGAAATGGTGCAATATTTGTGATACTTTCTTAAAAGATAAGTGGTGCAATATTAAAAAAAAGACGGAGGATATATGATAAGATAAAGCTCAAGAAAAATAAGTGCAAATATGCTCTTTATAAGGATAAAAAGGGTTACCCAAATTCAATTTATACAATTAAAATAAACTTAATAAAGCAAAAGGCAAAATAAAATTTGTATTCTTTGTTAACCTTATCCGGTTTGATTGTAATTGGTAGAACTACACGTAGTTATTAATGTTAAATTAAAACTTTTGATAGCCGAATTGAAACATGGGTAAGGTTCTGTAAGAACCACCCCTAGGTGAGAACCCTATCGTGGACGGTCACAATATAAAGAATTTCATATGGCATTTTTTGTAATTTTGTAGAACTTCAAACCTAAGTTTATGAAAATGCCCTTAATGAAGTTTTATATCGTAGCCGTTAGATCTACGCGATCTAACGACCAACGATGGAGCTCTCACTTTAAGGGTGGTTCTCATATATGTTTTTTTTTTAAAAGGTTCTTATTATTATTATTATTATTATTATTATTATTATTATTATTATTATTATTATTATTAGGAAATTTTGATTTTTACCACCTTCAAATAACGACTTTATTAAATTTACCACCTCCAAAAAAAAAAGATTTACTTTACCACCTCATAAAAAAATAAAACATCAGTTTTACCACCAATCACCTCCAACTAACGGATTCCGTCCATAAATCCGTTAGTGGGGCCTACCTTGCACACGTGTCGCCATATTATTGGGTAAGTTTTAAAAAAAATTAAAAAAATCCCCATTAATCAACCGGTGTTGCTGCCACCGTCAGGACCCCCACCGCCGACCAGCCACGACCAGCCCCCGCCACCTAACCGCTACGACCAGCCCCCACCACCTAACCGCTACGACCAGCCCCACCACCGCACCACACAGCCACAACCACCTTTCCACCAATTTTTATTTATTTTTTTGCTCTGTTTTCTCGAAAGCCACAACAATGGCGTCTCTTCCAATGGAGTTAATCACCTCCATTCTTTTCGATTACCCACTAAATCACTACTTCGCTTCAAATGCGTTTCCAAGGCTTGGCATTCCTTAATCAATCAACAACACCCATTTAATCAGACTTCATCTCGCTCATTCTCTCTCCTCTGACCGTCGTCTTCTTATCCTCAACCATGGAAGTCACCTGGAATCGACTCCATTGAAGTGGGGTTCTGAGCTTGATGCTAAAAACGATTGACAAGGTTTGATTTACCCAATTCTTTTTCTGGTTTTGAGGTTTCGATTTGTGGGTATTGTAATGGATTAATTGCTTTGGTTTGTAGAAATGTTGATGATAATCGATTTGTATCCTTGTTGTTGGTGATTTGGCTTCTTAGTTTTTGGCAGCCACCAAATCCCGACCACCCATAAATCCCCTTCTAATTCCGACCACTCTAAAAACCCTAGCCACCACCAAATTTCGCACTCCTAAAACCCTAACCACCACCTAATTCCGACCACCTCCCTAACCCACACACCAAATTCCGGCCCCTCCTTAGTCACACACGAAATTCCGACCAACCGAGGTAGTTGATTTCGTTGCTGGTTGGTTTACACGGAAGATCGGGGAAGATGAAGAAGAAACGTCAAAAAGGTGGGCCCTACTAACGGATTCGTGGACGGAATCCGTTAGTTGGTGGTAAAATCGATTTTTTTGGAAATTTTGTTGGTGGTAAAGTAAATCTTTTTTTTTTTTGAGGTGGTAAATTCAATTAAGTGGTTATTTGAAGGTGGTAAAAGTCAAAATAACCTTATTATTATTATCTCAAAAAAGACAAAGTCATACAGCCTATAAAAAATTATTATTATTATTATTATGTTGAGAGAAATAAGTGTGGTTCTCATATGAACCTAAATCATCGAAATATAATTTTAAACCAAGTATATATATTAGATAATATTATAATCCATATTATTATAACACAAAATGATGAATAACTTTATGTTAATTGACTTTCCCAACTCAATGGCATTTTAATAATAATTAAAGATTTCTAGCTAGATACATATCAATTTCTAAGAATCAAATTATTTTACTACGTAATACTTCCTAAATATAGTTTACATTTGACTTTTTACGGTATTCAAGACATGCCTTAAAATGTTTATATCTCCATTTTTATACACGTAAAAATTATAAAAACCTTTTTTTTTTTTTGAGGAAAATAAAAACTTAATATTAATAAAATGTACAATACGACGAATTTAATAAAATCCCAATTGAACATATAATCTTTTTTTAATTAGTGGAAATTTATAATCAAAGTTTTTAAAGTTTGATCCAAATAAGTCAAATGAGAATTATATTTTGGGAAAGTATTACAAAAATGATATTGTTTGATTTTTTTTTTGACGGGTTAAATGGGAACGAGTTATTTGTTGAAAGGAAAAAAATAAAATAAAACTTCCATCATTGTCATCAGCATTCACCGCCTTGTCAACAAACCTTGCATCATCAAACTCGCACTTCCACCTTTTTTTCCACAACTCTTTTAAACGACTGTGTTTCACTAACCGTTGTCAGGTACTGTAACTTATAACTCATTATCCTCTTTAATCTTAATTTATTTTTTAATTTTTTTTATCTAATATATAGGTTTTCATTATTACGTTAATGTTGATTTGATTATGCGTTTGTATGTAAAGGGAAAAAAAAAAAAACAAATTTTGCTGAATTGATGAAGTTAATGTATTTTAGTTGTAATTTGTAGGTGATTTAATTATAAAAGTTGTATCCAGTTTATCTGAAACTTTGTTTATTTGGGCAAACTGTAAAAGTCACATTGTCTGAATGTCTCAAGGTTAATATTGTGACATGAATTTCTAATTTATGATGCATAGAGCTGACAATCTTTGATCCGACCCGATAATTTAACTCGAATGGATTTACTGAGGAAACCTGAACTGAACTTGAATAACCCAAATTCAACATATTATCTTTTTTACAAGTACTAATATTAAATTTTCTATTAGTTCTTGTATTTTATTTTATTAAGCACAAACCTAATTGTGCACTTCCTATTTAGAAATCTTAAAATGAGCCAACAAACGCGATCAAATGCATAAATAATTACCCTTAAGTATACCTACCTCTACGCGTTCTTGGTCATTTGGTGTACCGGGGGTTACGAATAAGAATTTGTAGAACTTTCTACTTGTATAATAGTTGAATCGATCCTATATTCTTTCTACCCTTAATTCCTACAATGATTTATTAGGAAATTTAATTATAAACCTCTACTAATTAAGAAATGTGTGACATTTTTTCCTGGACAAGCTAAAATATTATATGTAACTATAAGATTATTTCATATGATGGGATTGATCGAAAATGCAATGTGCTTGTATCATTATTGAGGAGGTTTTTTGTTGATATGTATAGAAATAAATCCCGAGTAATTTACTTGCAAAATTTTATGTTAAGAAAATTTGAAATTCTAGATTATGTATGTATATTTCATTTGTCCCTTATTAATATTACGAAAATGCAGTTAACATGGAAATTTGTATGTTTTTCAGCTAATAACTTGAAAGGTAAACGTGGAAAACCTTCCTATTTGAAGGACTGGAACACAAAATCCACTGGCTTAGCAGTTGAGGAGGCTGTATTTAATGTGACATTTGAGTGGGATGAGGAAATCGCTGTTCCTGGTGCATTGATCGTGAAGAATGAGCACCACAGCGAGTTTTTTCTGAAAACTGTGACCCTAGAAGATGTCCCTGATCATGGAAAAGTTCTCTTTGTTTGCAACTCATGGGTTTATCCAACTCAGTACTATGAGAAGGATCGTGTATTCTTTACCAATAAGGTTACATCCTACATACATTTATCTAGATTTCGCTCTTTACATATATACAAGTTGTGACAGGCATGTTTGTCTTTGTATAACGTTGTTAATCAAATTTTCGGGTGTTTTTTTTACATTAGACATACTTACCTCATCAAACGCCTGCATTACTGTCCACTTACCGTGAAGAAGAGCTTGAAATTTTGAGAGGAAAGGGAAAAGAGAATGCAATGCTGAAGGAAAGTGACCGAGTTTATGACTATGCACTTTACAATGATCTAGGAGAGCCAGAAAAAGGTCCGGAATATGCCCGGCCAGTATTTGGAGGATCCACTGAATATCCTTATCCTCGTAGAGGTCGAACAGGCCGTCCACCTTTAAAGACAGGTAACATTACATCCATTTGTTCATAACATTTCATCCTTGCATTGGATCTCTCTTTTCACTGAAGAAAATTTGAAAGCTAAAAAAAAGTCTCACTTTTGTGTTAATATTATCTTCATATTTCCCTTGCAGATCCTGCCATTGAAAGCAGGTTGCCATTGCTCAAGGGTCTAGATATCTATGTTCCAAGAGACGAACAATTTGGGAACCTTAAGATGGCTGATTTCCTTGGTGATTCAGTGAAGTCCCTGTCACAGGGCTTTGCTGGCTTGGTCAGAGCGGTGCTGGACAAGACACCGAAGGAGTTTGACAGTTTTCAAGATGTGCTGGATATGTTTGAAGGAGGAATTAAGCTGCCAGAGAGTCCATTTCTAGATCAATTAAGGGAAAGTCTCCCTTCACAATTTCTGAAAGCAATTACTCGAAATGATGGTGCACCAATTCTGAAATACCCAACGCCTGGAATAATTAAAGGTACACACTAGCTTATATAAGAGCCTTTGTTTTTGCCATAGTTCTAGTGAATGGATCTTAAGCATTAACATGTGTCAACTTATTTCTTTTTACTGTTCTGAACTTGCTGATACAGAGGATAAGTCAGCTTGGAGTACTGATGAAGAATTTGCTAGGGAGATGTTGGCTGGAATACATCCTCTTGCCATTCGTCGCTTGGAGGTAATTTATGGCCATGTTCATTTTTTCCATCATATATATATATATATGAAAATAAAAGTGTGTTAAATCATTAGGCATTTAAGAGAAATTTTTTACTTCTATGCTAATTGAAAGCTACAAATCTACAACTGAGCTGTTAGCTGCCAGACTTTTACACTTCGATTGTAAAGAGTAAATTAAATGTCTGCCTCAGTTGCTTTATTGTGGATATAAGATAATATAAGAATGTCTTTTTTGATATCGGAAATTATGATGTTTTGGGGGCAAGGTTGCCGAGCATTCCCTTCTGAAAATTATGCTTAGAGTAGTGCAATGCACTTGTACAAGGCTGACAGTATAATCTATGTTTGGTTAGTCAGCAATTAGATCAAGATGTTTGTCATATGAATCAAAACATTATGTAAATGCCACCCCCTTTATTTTATAGGATTTCCCTTTGAAATGCAGGAATTCCCTCCGGTTAGTAAGCTTGATCCCTCAGCATATGGAAACCAAAGAAGCTCAATCACTGAGGACATTATGGAAGAAAAACTAGATGGTCTAAGTGTACAAGAGGTTAGCTTTCTCAACTGGTTTTCAATCATATTATACCTACTCATATCTTCATTCTTATATAAGTTATCTGCGTCTTTACCCTGAATCAGGCAATTGAGAGTAATAGGCTATTCATATTGGACCATCATGATACGATGATGCCATATCTAAGGATGATCAACACAAATACTCCTTCAAAGGTTTATGCCACCCGTACAATCCTCTTCCTAAAAGATGATGGAACATTGAAGCCGTTGGTGATTGAGCTAAGCCTACCACATCCTGATGGGGATCAATTTGGTGCTGTTAACGAAGTATATACACCAGCTAATGACGGGATAGAAGGCTCTATTTGGCAGTTAGCCAAAGCTTATGTGGCTGTTACTGACGCTGGTTATCATCAGCTAATCAGCCACTGGTACTATATTTTTCTATTAAAGCTTTGTTTACCTTATAGTATCAAAGTCATGTTTCAAGCTCTGACTTCTGGAAGGGTATCTTCTTTTGGACAGGTTACACACACATGCAGTCATCGAACCATTTGTAATAGCATCAAATAGACAGCTGAGTGTACTTCACCCAGTTCACAAACTTCTGCATCCACACTTTCGTGATACAATGCGCATAAATTCCATAGCAAGGCAGACTGCTCTTAACCCTAATGGGTTGTTTGAACAAGCCGTATTTCTCAGACAGTATTCTGCAGTGTGGTCATCCAAACTGTACAAAGACTGGGTTTTCACTGATCAAGCTCTTCCAAGAGACCTTGTCAAGAGGTATGTCACCTTATTTACCCATACTAAACTAATACTTCCGTTTATAAACTCTGTTTATCTATAGCACAAACGTGTGTGCAATTATGAACATTTAAATATGGTTAAGTGGAAGGAAGATAATGGAAAAGTAAAATTGGTGAAATCTGTTGAAATATTTGTCATATGAAGTATTTATCTTATCTAGTTTTGATAGTAATTCATTCAATGAAAAAAATACTGTAATTGTCCTAACTTAATCAATGTCCTGTCAATATTACTCAGAGGAATGGCGGTAAAGGACTCAGAAAGCCCTCATGGATACAAACTACACATCAAGGACTACCCATATGCTGTTGATGGACTAGAAGTTTGGTCTGCAATTGAGACTTGGGTCCAGGAGTATTGCTCATCTTACTACGAGTCTGATGACATGGTTGCTACTGATCCTGAATTACAGCTCTGGTGGAAGGAAATCAGAGAAGTAGGCCACGGTGATAAGAAGGACGAAGATTGGTGGCCGAGCATGACGACTCTGAAGGACCTAACTGAAACCTGCACAACTATTATATGGTTAGCTTCTGCAGTCCATGCAGCAGTCAATTTCGGACAGTACACTTATGCAGGCTACGTACCCAACAGGCCAACCATAAGCCGTCGGTTCATGCCAAAACCGAATACTCCCGAGTACGAAGAGATCAAGGAAAACTTCGAACTTGCATTCTTGAAGACAATAATGAGCCAGAATCAAGCATTGGTGGGTGTATCTGTTATTGAACTTATATCTAGTCATTCCTCTGATGAGGTTTATCTTGGACAACGAGACATCGATGAATGGACTACAGACCCTACACCATTAGAAGCATTCAAGAAATTCGGACAGACGTTGGTGGAAGTCGAAGATAAGATTGTCGAAAGGAACAATGAGGAGAGCTTAAAGAATCGGGTCGGTCCGGCTAAGTTGCCCTACACTCTACTTTACCCTTCAAGTGGTGTGGGAATAACTGGTAAGGGAATACCAAATAGCATTTCAACTTGAAACTCCTCTTCATTTTATCCTGTTATTTCAGGAAAAAAAATAAACTGTCTAAAGTAGAAATGATCAGCATATAATTCAGGTTACATACATTATACATACCAATTTGTGATATTTGTAAAATATATTCAGCATTTATTTTTAGTTTCAGATGTAAATGTGGACCGGCCTATAATAAATTCCATCAGGCCTTTGTATTCTTTGATTGAATTATTATGTATACAGTACATGTTTCATGTTTTTTTTGACAAGAGTACATGTTTTTAATTTTTAAAAAAAAAATATTTAATGCATATTACTTTTACCAAATTTGAACTTTACAATGAAGATACATCACTAATTATTCTGATTTTTAATGCAAAATTGCAACCTTGCATATAAAATTTTTTTAAAAAAAACATCCGTATAGGGATTGATCATGGGACAAAGTTGCCTTAAGGATACTCTAAGAATTTGGGTTCAACCACTACAACATTCACCTTACGTTTGAGATAATTTACAGAATATTACATATATACTTATATACACAATAAGACTGGATGTCCTTTTAATTTTGGGGCCCTGTGCTAAGGCCCACCTTGCACACCCTCTTCTACGGCCCTGCTTATTCAATAAGTATTTTGAGCTTGACAGGACTCAAGCTTGATTGTGTGGAAATGTATGGGTATAATCTCCGTTATTTGGCTTACATATCCTACTTTCTAATATACGAAACATGTCTAACATACTAGACAAAAAATGACAAATTAACACGTAATATATGTATAGTTTGAAACTTTGAATGACCAATGGTAAAATGGGGTTGTTTACGAAGTATTTGTTTTAAATTACTCTGTGCTTTATTGTATGATAATAATAATATGCTACATATTAACACTGTTAAAAACAGCTAAACATCAATCCTAATTTGGAGTCATTTCTAAAAACATACTGTATCTTAAAATTGGGTTGGCTAATCAATTTATGATAAGTCTAATTCATATCCTTGATTTTGGCTGTGATTCTTTACCTTCAACCAAGGCTTTCTCATATAGCCTGGTCCATCCAATAGCTCTATCGCATGGTCCCTAACCTAAAATTGTGCCTTATTGCATTGTGTCATTTAGATCTTGGACATTTATATGCTCATTTCACCAAGTTCATTTACTACTATTATTACTATATAGAACAAAACGACAAGTAATGTTAGATGGAATTTGATTTCTCGGATATCATTCTAAAGCTGAGATATTATTGTTTTTTTACTTGCATGGTCTTTAAAACTTATTTTTGACCATCTATATCTTTAATTATGTATTACTCTGTAATAAAAATTACAGATTTTAAAAATAATACTATTGTAGAAAGTAGATAAATCTAGCAATATCTCATAAGTTCATATGTTTTATATATGTACTTGATGAGCAGTGGCGGATCTTGGCCAAAAATATTAGAGGGGCTGGAAGTTAAATTTTTTACCTCCCCGCTCAAAACTAATCACTATGTCCTTATATATTACGAGTAAAATAAGTTTATTTAAATTCATTAACTAATTAATTATAATAATTAAACGGGGGTCGGACCCCAAATAGCCTCAGTGGAAGGTCTGTTGATGAGAATTTTTGGTCAGTATTTTTAATTTGACCATAAAAATCAAAACAAGAACACTATTTTGAGATGAAGGGAACACTTCATTTGATTGAACTGGTATGCCAAATAATAAGTCTTTTTTAATTATTACTGATAAAGCAAGAATTAGACCCCTTGTTGGGCCAACCCATACCAACAAAGAACCATAATTCCACAGGTCAGGCTGTTAATTATAAACTCCGTAGTCCGTACTTACATTATTACATTCTCTATATTTTTCCATTTGTTGTCCTTATTTTTTAGGAAAAAAATTAAGAACTTTTGTCAAGATTGATACTTAGACTAATCTAAGTAATTTAATTGTCTGGTGGTTGACTGCTACCTTTCTTAGCTAACCCCACGCATTATTATCAGTCACATTCAAAGATGTTGTCCTCTTTTTGGAAATTATTACCACTTTTCCTCCTCTTTACCGTGACTCTACTTCGGTGAGGAGTTCTTACCTAAAGGTATATCCGTTTCGGTTCAGATTTCGTTGTCACATTATTACGATCAGTTTATATTACACTATCAAAGTAAATAGAAGTATTACTTTTACATAGTTACTATATGCATAATAGTCTCATTTGATGTATGACTGATATTGGGTAGCGATGACACATGAGGATGAGGATATCCCACATTCTCACCTAATAGTCTAATACACCTCACTTTAGAATGTACTAAACGTAGAGAGGTTTTCCATTCGAGTAAAAAAAAAATCAAATCTTATACTTTCAAGTAAAATTCGAATTTAGATTAACATTTTGGCATCGACATACAAATCAAGTAAGTGTCAATATTTGTACAAGTCTATATCCGATAGTATGGACTTGAGAACTTACCCACCCCATACCCACACCACGGGCCCGCCCTACCCCATTTATGACACTGATATGAAAAACTCAATTGACAGATCATAGAATTTGCCACGGCTTCCAGCTCATTACATTAAATGCACACAAATTATGTAAAAAAGCGAGTATATGTTAACTTATTGTGAGACGGTTAAAGTTTTCGTAAAAGTATTTAAAGTTACCTTTTATACTACAAAAGTTATTATGTTTCTAATAATAAATTTTATCTTACAAAAAAACTTATAATGTATTAGATTAATTATACTTAGTCTTTTTAGTTTGTAATCATGAATCTATAAGAAATTACACATTAAAATAAAATTCAAACCAACGACAAATTAAAAGTTACCTTTTAAGTGATTTAAGTTACCATAAAAATAATTAAAGTAACCCTTAAATTGACCGTTTTACAATAAAATTAACGTACATCCGTCTTATACAATACTTATTGTTAAATGCAATAGTTTTGATAAATTTATGATGTTTATGATTCATCCGAGCAATACATTATACTATAAAACGCGAGTACAATTATACATATTCGAAACGTCGGTCTTAGAGTATACTCCTATTCAGGTAACTTCATTCGTATGCATGAATAGCAAAAAATTGATAAAGCAAAAAGGAAGAAACTTTAATCAGCCAACCATAACATGCTCTGACATTCGTTTAGCACAAAATCAAGACCAAAACCCCAACACTAATCCTACCAGCCGACAATAGAATAAAGGCAAATAAACGTACGTCACTTTTTTACCCCTTTTTTTGGGTATACAATCTACGCTTTATCCGAATAATATTCCCTCCGTTCTTTCTAACATCGTTATATTATCATGTATAAATAGTCTTATTTGATTCATTTCAGTTTCAATAAGGAAGTTAACAAATACTCCATATTTTATAAATTCTACAAACTTGTAACACAAGTTATTTTAATAGTCAGATTACATTTTATTAAAATATGTATTGAAGATCGTGAAATAAAAAAAGTGTTATTGTTTTAATGAAATGGGGTAATAAATTCATATGACTAGAAGTTAGAGAGAATAAATTCTAGTTCAAGTTCCGAGTAATCAGAATTTTTGCACCTTTGTGTTGTTCAATTGTTGTTTGTCTTTTTTTTTTTTTTTTTTTTTTTCTAAAAATGCTTTTGCAAAAACTTACAGTTTTGGGTTTAGAATCAGATACCCGGTTTCTTTTTGCTGATCAGTGATCACTACCCCATAGTTTTTCTTTTTTTACCATTCTCTAGAATTCTAGAAAGCACTAATTGATCGATGTTCACATCAAACAATGTTAATTGTCTTATGGAGAATCATAATTAATTGGAAAATGAAACTTGTTACGAGGAATTGATGTAACCACATAATACTTTATATAAAAACACGCAATTAACTTCACGCTAAACCAAAAAATTTATAAATAAATTCACACTTTCACTTTCATTACTAAGATTCATCAACTTTGATGGTATATATAATTTTTTGTTTATATATAAAATCTATTACTCCTACAATACATACCAACTGGTCAACTACCAAGTAAGATAATACTTGTATAAGCTGTATTAGATTTGTGTTGATATCAATTTTTAAGAAATTAGCATTGAATGATCTCATTAGCGAAGTAGTTACAACAATTAAATACAATATCGCATAAGTTACTCTCATAAATTCCAAGAAACAGTGTAAATGTTATAACAGACACATGAATAAAATAAAAGTGTGAATCGGGGTGAGGATTTTATTCTCTAAAACAAACTTTAATTTTAGAGTTGAAAGTCAATTCATATGTGAAGACAATACCATGTAGTACAAAGTCTATAACACATGTATTTGACAGAAATAACAGCAAAATTAAAATAACAAGACTGTAAAATTATTTTCTTTTACCCCAAATACAGAAAGATAACAACTTAATTATATGGCTTATAATAACCTGTTTTTGCCAAACAAAACCAGCTTCATTATCAGCCTCTCTACTTCTCCATAGAAAAAAAACTCAGAATTTTTACTACTCAAAACTCAGAAACTCTAGCCTGAAAAATTAAAGAAAACCCGAAAAGGCGGTCGTTGTTTTACGAGTAATTACCTGAATATGCATTGTCTAAGACTGATCAATGCATTTGACAAAAAAGCTCCTGCTATGCTCAAGGAAGAAGGAGAAAATGGTAAGGGTAGTGTTGTGCGACAGCGGAAGCAAAGGTCGAAAACAAACAAGAAAACAATAAAGAAATTCAATGCAAACAATAAGAACAACACCAAGAATTTACGTGGTTCACTATCGATGTGATAGCTACGTCCACGGGCACCGAGATCGAATGATTTCACTATAAACTGCAAAGATTACAAAGATGATTCTTGTATTTCTCAAGAACGGCTCTCACTCTCTCTCCCTTAACCCTTATACTAATATTAGGGAGGTTTTATATTAATCCCTAAAATAAAAGATACTTGGGCAAAAAGATAACATAAAAGATAACTTTAAATCGTAAAATCCGCGTCTCCGCATTTTTCCTTCTCCGCCCGGTCAGACCGGGCAAGGTCTGCCCGATCGGGCGCGAGAAGAAAACTCCATACGAATGCTTCAACGTATCCAACCCCCACCGCCCGGTCAGACCGGGCAATGTCCGCCCGATCGGGCGGACAAAGCTACGAAGTACGAGTCACCTAATACTTATCAACAATCTCCACCTTGACGAGAACTCGTAGTCAGCAAACGACCCCATCAAGACATAGTGGAAAAACATCTCAAGCCAAACCCGATGCAAGACTCATGCATAA